GTCCATGTTCCATTTGCTCCTCTTCAATTTTGAGCACTGGAGGCAGTCTCTTTAGGATGGAATCCACCAAGTTAACTGCCAAACAGAATTTGTAAGTTTCATCTAATACACCGCACACTTTTACCACTGGCGACCAATGGCAAGGTAGCTGACTTATCCCTGTTTCTGATAGAGGGAAACGTTTCCGATTAAATTAAAATCCTAGCTGCTGCGCGTTAATAAAACGAATTTGACATTGAAATCAACCCCTCTAGAAACTGTATAAATGTGAAAAAATAATATTTATTCAGGTCTAACCGTTTTCTACCACCAAGCTCAAGCGAGAAGATATACCAACCATCATATGTGAAAAATATGACTTCCGTGAATGCATTTTTAGAGTGACGGTTATCAAAAATCTCCGTTATCAGTGCAGAAAATTTTGCTATGTCCGAATTGGCGTATGCAGNCCTTCCAACTCGTTAGGCGGTGTAGATATTTAATTCTTTTGACAGGTAAAAAGAAATTCATTAGAAAACTGGCTCAGTAGATCAGCTTCAACAATATGCTGAATTACACGTTGGCCACCAGTGAGATAAACCCATTGCCAAATGGGCGGGCGACGTGATTTGAATTTGTTGGTCAAATCAATACGCGCTAAGCTTTGTTGGCCGTTCGATAACAGCTTTATATCACGTGATCTCAGCCGCATTTTAAATTGAGCCATCACTTTCCAAACGAAATCGTGGGGGAAAAATGGCTAATCAGCCCGGACTATCATCCAGATTGGATTTGTGCAACTCTTCTCTGCTGCGATCAAATACAACCATCATCTTACTCTGTTATGGCTAGTTTTCTCCCTCTCAGTTTATGTCTTGATGAAGAAATTTCGTTGAATATGCAAAAAATTGGACTTATGTTCACATAGAAGCGCTTCCACAAGATATCAGCTGAGCCAGCAGATTCATGCGCCTTTCGTTTTAGCCGCTTCGGGGCTTTAATTATATGCCAAAACCTTTTGAAGGTTTGATCCGGTTTGGGCGTGGTGACACTACAGGACGCTTATTCAATGAGCCACACATCTCAAGGTCAACTTTCGAAGAATAACTTGTGTCTTTCTTGGACTAAGTTTTCAGTTCCTCCAGTATTGGAGATAATGCGTGAGTAGTTTGTAGCCTAATAATTTAGCAATTTATTAAAGTTAGAATATTTTCAATAATTTGCTTATTTACTGTGCACTGAATGAAAAGAGAATAGAAATTTAGAATGCGTGTGCTCAACCTAATAAAAACTCTCATAGGACACGAATCATCTATTAAAAAGAATGAACACCCATGCTACTTTGCCCAAAATATTTTCTAAATCAGAGCAGTAACTTTCGAACTACTGCAAATTTTATAGCGACACTCAAGGTCGCGCACACTCAAATGGTGATAGAAATGGACTAAGAACGTAGATGTTGGAGATAAAGTCAGGAATAAATACATTGTACCCATAACCATCTATATATAAGTATGCTATTGCAGGCTGAAATGGGTTTTCAAAATGAGGGCGATGTTGCACGAGTTTGGTCAACACCTGTATATATATGCCATGTTTCTGGGCTGTCCCGCTGCAGTCCACCACATGGGACACGCTATCAGGGTTAGTCAACAGACATGATGTGATTATTATCAACAAGATAGTAACTCAATAGGGATTCCCGCGAATCGAGATAAAGATGTGACACTTGACCGAACAACTCACTTCCAAAACGTCCAAACAGTGTACTGTGGCAAGAAGGATTGCGATTGGTGTCCGATCCACTCGCCACGATGCATTGGTGACAACGTGACTATTACATTTCGGTCAGTTATAGTCACCTTCATGCTCCTCAAGTTTCTAAAAACACATACTTGTTCGATCAACTGTTTGCTCTTACTTACTGGTTCAAATGATTGAATCGGAATGCGAACAGGTCTCTCTCTCTCTTTCGGTCCATATTGTTTTATCTCGGATCGACGAAGCTTTTCCTCAATTACAACCATACTGTTGCATCCATAGACTTATGTTTAATTTCCTATTTGCAATTGGTTTGTTTGTTTTTACTACATTCCAGACTGGACTGTGCACATGTGACTATTCACACAGACCGAGGTCTGTTTTGTTTCTTCTCATGGCTTTTTCGTTCGACCCNCCCCCCCCCCCCCTGTAAATTTCTTTCCACAACGCACTTCTGTTCGAACCGTGTAGTTCACATCGGTCGCACTGAACGACCAAATGCATAGCCGAAAGATAGTGGTTGCTAATGCTAAACATCTGTGTAGATCGGGATTTTCGAAGATCGGGGTATGGGAAGAGAAACTCGAAGAAAACAGTCCCCTGTCAACAGCGAGGGGTGGGGGGTGGAGCGGGGAGTGAACATGAAAGGCAGCAGTTGATGTGATGTGAAATCCACTTGCACACATTCATCCCATTTGTTTCCTCACACGGATCGTGTTGAGGAACGAGTTAGTGTTTTGTAAATAACAGCTCACGATCAAACTATCTGGAGAGTTTGAGTATCGATAACGCATTTCTTAGTGAAGTAGCAACAATCATGGAAGTAGA